GCCCTGCTGCCCCCTGACCTGTGTCTGCTTCTTCCTTCCTTGGCCTGCTTCATCCTATGACTGTTCTCCCCCTTGACTGTGGATCCTGTGACAGGGGGAATCCATGTAGGTCACAGTTGATACACAACTAGGTTGAGCCAAAGAGACAGACACCTATTATCTCTATAAGCCTTCACATAAGACAGACTATGTGCACCTACCATGACTACGTGAGCTCATCTGACAGTCCTGTGTCCTCAGAGACAAATCAGTATTTTTGCAGAAGATCTTAGCTCCCACAGAACAAAAGAGACTGATCCAGGATTGGATCTCATGGAGAGAATGGGCAGTGTGAGTGAATTTAGCACCTGACACCAGCTCCCAGCAGCAAGTGCTAGAAAATTCTGGGAGTCTGAATGGGGCAATGAGCACTTTATGGTAAGGTCCTTCTCCCCAGGTGCCTCTCCAAGGAGAGCTGTGGGAGTCAGTCCCCAGACTCCAAAGGCCAATAGACCCGGCCCCTCACCTGCATTGATTGAATTTTCCATGACAAGCAGTGCTTCTTACTGACAACAAATTCAGAAAATCTCAGAGAGTGAAACCCCAAATGAAGACAGAGGATTCCATGTGTCACCGAACAAAATCGACCTAAAAACCACAGCTCCATTTCAGGTGACCTGTCCAAGAATCAATTCTCCTCTGAGCTAAGTTCTATGATAGCTGAAGTCAGGAAGTCAGGACCCTGAATTATAAAGAAAATTTCACTATGAGCCCAGACACAGAGCTTCTAACTCCTGGAGTAGGTCAGTGGGATATGTCCACATACTCATCTCAGTAACTGCAACTCTGAACTGCATCAACAAATCACCACAATGTTTTCTGTATCAAATTTCCACTAATCCACACACTCCAAGTTCAACAGCTTTGCATTCAGAATGGATTATCCAGTAACAGAATTTAATATTTAACTAAATATATCATTGATTTTTAAAGCTTATTCAAAGAGAGACTATTAAGAATGCCATTGACCAGGAAAGAATAAAAGTGATACATGTGTGGGTAAGTGTACTTGAGTGTGTTAGTGTGTGAGCTTCTGTGATTGTGCATGAGCCAGTGAGTAGGTGTTAGTGTTTGTGTGTGAGGGTTTGTGGAGGGTTACATAAAAATCTATGTCATTTTGTTAGTGTGTATCTCTGTGTAAATGCATGAGAAACTCTCTTCTCTCTCTCTCCCTCTCTTCCCCCTCTTCCCCCCTCTCTGTCTCTGTCTCTATTACAGCTCCATCTCTGGTGCAGCATGAGTACTAATGTCTCCAGGCACTGACACACAGGGCTGACTCACGCTCTTTCAACAAACAAGCATTTTTTTTTGTACATGGCAATTTACTCCAATACTTAGTCTCATTATGCAGCCTCCCATCTGAGTATTATGAGGTAACCCACCAGAAAAGACCACTCAGACCCAAAAAATAGCCAAAAGAAAGTCTTTATAGCTGGCTGGAGACTGCCCTGGGCATTCAGGTCCCAAGTGCAACCCCAAGCCTTTTCAAGGTTGACTTCTATAAAGAAAAATCAAAATGCCCCCCCCCGACAGTTCCTCACAGCTCAGGGGTGGAAAAGTTCCTAGCAGTTTCTTCCTGCAAGCCAAGTGAAAAATACAAAAGATTTGGAACAGTGTTAGCCCGAGCGACCAGGCTCCTGTTGACCTTTCCTCAAACCCAGACATTTTTCTCAAACCCACATCCCGGTAGCTGGGCCACACTTTTCTGCTCACACACATTGAGATGCCTGCCTCTCGTTTTCAGTTGCTGGGATTGTAACATGGAGCAGCTATGGTCAGTC